CACGAACGGCTGATGCCTTTTTGGTATTCTACCAAGCCGAACTTAATTGTAAACGTACAATTTCATAGAATTTATGGTTATAAGTTTTGGCTTGAAGATGAATTTATTATTTTTAACTAGTATACAGGCTCAGTAAGCCTTCAAACCGGAGCGATATAATTTTTCTAAGCAAACGGTTTCAATTGTATAACTAAATCACGGAATGGAACCATTGATAGCTTGATCTGTAGCCAGATCACGAATAGCACCTAGTGCAACACATCTGGCGCCGAGTTAACGTGCATGATTCCAGCTGCAATAATATGTCTACAAAAGTATTTCTGAGAGTTGAGAAAACTTATCTCTACGTAGTGTTGACTTGGAGCAACTTTTTGAGGAAAAAGTTTCGGTAAGAGTCAAAAATGAGTCAACATTTGCCCCCCCCCCCCCTCGCCTCAGGGAGTCCACTCCTCCCACCTCTAAAGGTTTCCCTCTTGGCTTTTTGGTAATATTTTAACCCATCCTTTGAAAGACATCCAAAAGCTTTAATTTTTCCAAAACACCTTTGGCGCCAATATATACAGAATTTATGTGCGAGTGAGACCCCAAAAAACTCATTTATTTAGTCATAAATTTCAAAAAAAGGCCCTCAAATATTATTTTCTTCTGTTTTTTTAAAATCTAATCCATTGCAAAAGCTTTTGAACTTTTGTGTTATTGAAACTAAAGTAATTGTAATGTAACAGGGTAAACAAAAAACGTGCCGACCAAAAGAGTGATTTGTGTAGTTGATTCAAGAGTGCAGTGTTTGCAAAAAAAATTACTATCAATTGTACCTAAGGACTAGTACTGGCGTGGTTTTGACCAAAGTACAGCGCATGTTAAGTTGTTTAAGCCAATTTTTGTTCCGACAATTGAAAATGGGGAGGAATTTTGTATTCGGTTGTGTTTTAGTTTGTTTTCCACAAAAATATTAAAGCGCGTTCAGTCGTGATTCGAAACACATTACCAAATTTCCAAAAAGTCTTCCCAGAAAAACCGGTTTGAAATTTTTGATTTTTTGTCTTAATTTGAGCAAGTGGTGAAGTGGGGAGCAGTGATGAAATGGACGGGAGCAGTGGTGAAGTTGTTACGTCACCGCCTCTCAATCGAAAGGTCGGATGTTCGAGGCCCACCATGATCCGTGCTCGTTGCTTGAGGGTGAGGCAACATTACCCAGCCCAGAAAAATAACCAAAAAAATTGCATGTAGTTCTTAAGCAGGGGCACAACAGCGGTTCGCCGCTATGAGCTGTACAGCTCGTATGTTGGTTCTATCCCTCGTGGATAAATGATCTTAATGTGTACAAGTAAAGCACGCGAGCAGGCTTACAAGCTGAATTATGCCTTATTTAAAAACTGAAAACCCATTTTTAAGCAAGTAAATTAGTTTTTGGAGTTTTCTTAGCTTCTTCAATTGTAAAATTTTTTTTTCATTTTTTCTACAAACCTTTTGTCCACTTTGCCTATATAACTATGACTGTCTAATATGCCTAAATTATGTTTTAACGTCAGATCCTTTTATCACACCAAGCAGAAAAAACTGCACTAATTTGGAAAAAAAAAAACTTTCGAAGCCGTAGTTTTCTAAAGACTACGGTCGGAACATTCTGTGCTACTTGCACAGTAACCGGCTATCCCTGTTTAATTTTTGGACTGGGCAACGTGCTCACTTTAGACGGCGCAGCCAACAGAACTGAGCAACCAAGGTTGGTTATGTCTTGTTTTCGACTATCGGCGGAACCGCTTGTTCCATGCGGGACTTTTGGTCCCCGAGTTTTCAAATAGCAATGGTGGACAAGGACTTGCCGGGTATCAAAGTGTCGCAATCAGGGTCAACGGTGGCACGAACCCGTATACAACGGTCGAAAAACGCCCCAAATTGAAGATAAAAATTAAATGAAGAGAATAATGAAAATGCGCAATTGGGTAAATTGGAAGATGATATGGCTATGGAGGGCCAAAGATGAAGCGCCGAAGGGAGGACAAAAAGGTCGACTGAGCAGCAGAATCTGATATATAGTAATTGTTCTAATTCAGATCATCTGAAATAATCTTTTTCAGATTCGACTTCCAGACATGTCTCGAATGGGCCGTGAATTATTGAAAAAACGATTGGGACTTTAAGGTCTATTTCACATCTGAAGTTATTTTTTTCATGGTTATTTAAGATCTAAGAAAAACCTATGCAACCCGCACTTAAGTTCCATAAATAAAGTTAAGTTATTCTGTCAGGGTCTATAAAACTAAAAAATAATCGATCGTAGTCACTTGAAAATGGATTATAATGCTATAAATAAAAAACATTAAAACGCATTTGCAAATCGAATATTTCTTACTTTTACAGATGAAGAGTTGAAAACTTCCTTACAATTGATATTTTTCCACTTTATTGTGATGCAAGCAGCTTGCACGTCTGAAAAAAAATTGATTGCTTGTTGTATAAATCCTTTTTTTCTGCGCAAACTTGATTTTTGTCCCTCACTTTTTGTTACTCAATTTTGTTCCTTTCAAAGTTTTTCTTAATTTTTTGAGAACTTCAGGGGTGGATTAAAATTGAAGGCGCACAAACTTTGTTTGTATGTAATTTTTAGTTTAGCTCCTATTTTTAATAACTAATGTTTGTGGTGGGGTTCTGTCGTAGGTTTCTAACTAATCTTTGTTGCCTGCGGTAGGGTTTGAACTAATCTTTGTTGTCTGTATGTTTGTAACCAAGAGATAATGTCTGAACAGGGGCGGATCTAGGATTTTCTCAAGGGGGTGGCGGATTTTCAAAAAAAATCGAAAACTTTGACGACCTTTTTTTCTTTAGGTCGACCAAATTGATTTTTGAGCTCTCCAAAGCACTGTTTTGCCCCTATTTTGGCTAAATTTTCTGCGCCGAAAAAACAGTGTCAAAATGCCGTTTTTGGGCACTTTTTGAACAATTTTGACAAAAAAATTGCGTTTTTTTGGCGCGCGCTCCCCCTCAAAGTTAGTATATATTGGCGCCAAAGGCGCCTTTAGAAAAATTTTAGGGTCGGTCGGCCAAAAATGCATTTCTGAAAAAGTATCAAAGGGGGGACCCTTTGGGTCAGCAGAGGGTCAAATCCCCGTACCCCCCCCCCCCTAAATCCGCCCCTGTGTCTGAACATACTAATTTGACAGGGATCGTGCTTCAAACAAAATCATTTTTTTCGCCAAAATTTTCTAAAATTGTCCTTTTTAAACTGTATTTCAAAAGTCTGATTGAAAACTCTGTCGATACATTTGGGGGTTTCAAAAATACAATCTGGAAAACTAGTTGATTCTCGTGGGAGGGGTCCGGCTAATCTCGACAATGAGAAAAATGTTTGGGAGTTTTTAAATGGCTTTCAAGTTACGACTGAAAGTGCTTGATTATGATATATCACTGAACCCTATCCGATCATTGATTTTTTTAAAAAGCAAACGCGAAGACAAAATCCCCACCAAACTTCAGTGGTCGGAACAACATGTACAAATTGTTATCAGATTTATAATGAAGATGACAGAGTTATTGCACGGCGTGCAACTCAGTTTAGCGTCCGAGTGAACGTATTTTAGACTATACAAATGTGTTTTCTGACAAATCCTTCGGTGCTGCTGGCGCATCATCAACTGGCAATGATTGTTCTAAATGGGTTTTTGTGGAAATCCCGATGTAATTTTAGGCAATTAAAATGAATCCAGGTTTTTCATTGCTCTATCAAAATGTACTAAGGGTTAACCGCCATAATCAATCGGGGTTTAATTTGACTCTAAGACTTGCCCTAGAACTATGACATTTTCAGAATTAGTTCACAAAGGTAAGTTAACCGCTGAGCAATTATACATAGTGCTAAATTAAAAAGAAACGGATAAGGTTTTTGAAAAAAGCATTTATGATATGAAAAAATAATATAAATAAGTAGTGACTGCGTATCCGCAACTTTTTAGAGCACTGAAAATTTGAAGACATAAATAATTCGTTTTGAAACAAATTGGAGAGAAAAAAATACATTTCCGGAACGAAAACCACTGACCTTTTCATCTTCGTTACAGCTCCAGCGACACATTTTTTAAAATTAATAGATGCTATACAAATCACTCTGTTTGAAAAGTTTTGAAGCAATGACGTATAAGAAATATTTGCTTCAATTTCAAAAGACTAACTGATTTTCAAATACAATCTACTGTGAATTCAGTTCATAAAACAATTTTACTCCGAGTTTTGCTATCAAGCACAAAAAGGCATCTTTTACATCACACGATCAATTTGACCGTTCAAAAATCGAAGCTGAATTGAGCTTAGAACGAATGTCTTTTTTAAACATTTGGAGCTTTCGAAAAAAGTAACAGCGTATTAAGAAGTTTGAGCACCGAAAGCTTACAGTGTCCCAAACAGAGTTTCATCTATTGTTGATTTTGAATTGTGTATGAGTATTTGTAAAAATTGATTACATGGTTTTTAAAAGCGCTGTTTATTAGCTGGTAACTTCTGACGTTGTTCATTTGATATCAAATTCTTGCGAGCTTACTTGAGTTGAGATTCAAAAAGGATGCAACTAGAGTTTCATTATGCTTTTTAAAACAAATTTACTCTAAACTCCGAAATTTGTTCAAAGAATCTGAAAAATCATTTATCTAATTTAAGTTATAGTCGGTTTACGCCGCAAAATTTCATTAGCCCAGCAAAACACCCATCTGTCAGATTTGAACTTGGCTTCTACTAAATTCAATTTATTCAACACTGGTCGTTTTTTTATCAACAACTTCCGCTGTGAAATTTTATTGAAATAACTAAACTTAATAGCAGAATTTTTATAACTTCTTTTTGGGGAATTATTTTTGTACTTGAGACCCGATAACGATCCTTACTTAGCAGATATTCACCATAGCCGAGTTGAAGTCCGACGGTGTCAGTAAACGGAAATCACAATCAGCTGAAATCCTTTTTCTTTTACTGGATTACACAAAACTTACAGTGAGAGATTCGTTAATTTTGGGATGGACAATCAGGAGTACCCGCCTATTGTGTCCTCAAGCATCGCCCCTGAAGAAGCAGTGAAGCTGCTGACGCCGCAGCAGGTGGATGAGTTCAGGCAACACTTCAGGTCAGTCAGGAACCCCCCCCCCATTCTCAAAATACCCTGTGGACGTTAGTGACATAGGGTCCCTTGCAAAAACCAATGGTGAAAGAAGGGCCTCGCGTCAAACTAATAGTAAACAATACAAAACTAAACAATAAATAAAAATTTCTCCCAGGACCGTTTCCCGGGCCGAGGTGCTCACTTTATTTTTCGACGGTCTCAACCAAAATTCGGTATGTTTTGACCGTGCTCGACCAAAATTTGGTGCTTTGCGACCGTGCTCGAGCAAAACTCGGCATGTTCCGACGGTGCTCGACCGAAACAAATGTGCTCAATCGTGTTCGACCCAAGTACATTATGTTTCGATGCTCGACAAAAAAAATGCGCGACCGTGCTCGACCCAAGCAAGATACGTTTCGATCGAGCTCTGATATGTGCTCGACTTTAAAAGTCCAAACTGTGAGCACCTTGACCCGGGTTCAAAGATTTAATCGAAGGCATCTGGTTTTCTTTCGACTTCCTTAACCTTTTAGAAACACATTGGAAGCAAAAAACTGAAAAGACTGTAAACACTGCCTCGTGCAGTGGACCCGGTAGTTTTTCACGACTCATTTTTCATAATTGTACGAAAAATCCTCCCTTTTCAAACCTACCAAATCATATAGACTGTAATTGTTTTTTTTCTTCTTGAAGGTAATTATTTTTAAAAATCATTAATCCATTAGCAGGTTTGAGGAATTTCATATCCCCCACAAACAAAAGTGAACAAAAACAGCATAATCACTAACGGTCTTCGAAAAATGAACTACATACAAAACTGTTATCAAATGTTGCTCTAATATGACGAGTTTGGGGGTCTCTAGGACAACAAGCAGACAGAAATAAAACAAAAAAACCCAATATTCGGTCCCTTCATCATGAGGGAAGATAATGACCAAGTTTGACGAGGTGGAGTTTTGCATCACAGTATTAGGCTGTGTTTTATTCACGCAAATACAGACAACACGAAGAAACTTCGTAAGCGGTCAAGTATCACGAGAAGTTCCGTCGTACTGAGCTGCACTGTAAGCTCTCAACGTTTTTTCAATGAAAAGCTTTTACCTTTGACTTTTCCAAAAATTGAAACCTAGACGAAAGCGTTTTCATACTTGACCGTAATGGAACAGAAGGAAGTTACAAAAAGATAAGATTGCGCTTTTCTAGGAAAATTTTTCTGCTATGCATCGGCCGGGAAGCGAACATGCGTCTATCGCGTGGGAGGCGACAATTCGACCACTGAACCACCGATGCTTGATTTCCACTATTTTAATCATTTGAACAAATTTTTGCTCTTCAATCCAATTTTCTCTTCGAAACTTTGAACAAAATCATGAAAAATTTGTTTCATTCTAACTGAGGTTTTGATTTCAGCTGAATATTTTGGTAGTTTCCTCTTTTTTGACAGTGGAACAGTAAAAAAGTGCAAAAATTTAAGTTTGCGCTTTTCGGGCAAAATTTTCTACTTTTCTGCTTTGCATCGGACGGGAATCGAAACCGGGTCTATCGCGTGGCGGGCAATAATTCTACGAATGAACCACCGATGCTTGATGTAATCTGTTTTGATAGTTCGAACAAAGTTTTGCTCTTCAATCCAATCTTTTCATCAAAACTTCGAACAAAATCATGAAAACTTTGTTTCATTCTAATTGAAGTTTTGAATTCAGCTGAATATTTCAGTATTTTTCCTCTTTTTGACAGTGGACAGTAAAAATTACAAAAGTTTAAACTTGCGCTTTTCTAGTAAAACTCTCTGCGCTACATCGGCCGGGACTCAAACACGGGTATATTTCTTGGCAGGCGACAATCCTGCCACTGAACCACTGATGCTTGAACTAAGTTCTTCACCGTTTGAACAAAAACTTTGCCCTTCCTTTCAATTTTTTAACAAATTTTCGAATCAAAATCATGAATGATTCAATTCGTTTGAGTTTTAAAATACAGCTATTTATTTGAGTAGTTTTCTTCTTTTTTGACAGTGGAACAGTAATAAGTTACAAAAATGAAGACTGCTCTTTCCTAGGAAAATTGTTCTGCTATGCATCGGCCGGGAGTCAAAACCGGGTCTATAGCGTGATTAGCGACAAATCTTCCACTGAACCAGCGATGCTTGATTTACAATAATTTAATCGTTTGAAGAAAGTTTTGCTCCTCAATCCAATTTTTTCATCAAAACTTCGAACAAAATCATAAAAACTTTGTTTCATTCCAATTGAGGTTTTGAATTCAGCTAATTATTTGAGTAGTTTTTCCCTTTTTTGTTAGTGGATTAACAAAAAGTTACAAAGCTTTAAGTTTGCGCTTTTCTAGGTAAACTATCTACGCTGCATCGGCCGGGAATCGAAGACGGGTATATTGCTAGGCAGGCGACAATTCTTCCACTAACCCACCGATGCTTGAATCAAACTGTTCACCGTTTGAACAAAAAGTTTGCTCCTCAATTCATTTTTTTCCCAATTTTTCGAATCAAAACCCTAAATGACGTAATTTGTTCGAGTTTTAAAATTCAGCTATTTATTCGATCTCCTCTTTTTTGACAGTGGAACAGTAGGAAGTTGAAAAAACTTAACTTTGCGCTTTTCTAGGAATATTTTTCTGCTTTCCTGCTTTGCACCAGCCGAGAATTGAACCCGGCTCTGTCGCGTGGCAGGAGACAATTCTACGACTAAACCACCGATGCTTGATTTCCACTGTTTTAATCGATCCAACAAAGTTTTGCTCTTCATTCCAGTTTTTTCGTCAAAACTTCGAACCAAAATCCTAAAAACTTTGTTTTTTTTCAACTGAGGTTTTGAGTTCAGCTAATTATTTGACAGTGGCACAGTAAAAAATTGAAAAAACGTAATATTGCGCTTTTCTAGAAAAACTTTTCTGCTTTTTTGCTTTGCATCGCCCGGGGATCGAACCATGGTCTATGCTTGGAAGGCCACAATGCTACAACTGAACCACCGATGCTTGATTTTTATCTGTTTCAATCGTTTGAACAAAAAAATTGGTCTTTATTTCAATTTTGCACCAAATTTTCGAATCAAAATCATGAATGATTCATTTAATTTGAGCTTTGAGCTTTTTATTTGAGTAGTTTTCTTTTTTGACAGTGGAACAGTGATAAACTTCAAAAGTTTAACATTGCGCTTTTCTGGGAACTTTTTCTGCTTTGCATCGGCCGGAAAAGGAACTCGGGTCTATCGCACGGCAGGCGAAAATTCTACAACCTGTACTTGATTTAACCTCTTTTAATCGTTCCGACAAAAATTTTGCTCATCATTTCAATTTTTTTAACCAATTTTTTGAATCAAAATCATGAATGTTTCGTTTCATTTGAGATTTAAATTTCAACTATATTTTTTGAGTAGTTTTCCTTTTATTTGAAAGTGGAACGGTAAGAAGTTACAAAAAATTAAAATTGCGCTTTTCTAGGAAAATTTTTTCTTCTTTGCATCGGCCGGGAATCGAATACGAGTCTTTTGCGCGGGAGAAGAAAATTCTACCACTGAACCACAAATGCTTGAGTTTTACTGTTTTAATCGTTCCAACAAACTTTTGCTCTTCATTCTAATTTTTTCAATCAAAACTTTGAATCAAAGTCTTGAAAATTTTGTTCCATTTTAAGTGAGGTTTCGAATTCAGCAGAATATTTGAGTAGTTTTCTTCATTTTTGACAGTGGAGCAATAAAAAGTTGAAAAAAATTAAATTTGCGTTTTTCTAGGAAAATTTTTCTGCTTTGCGGCGACCAGAAATCAAACCCGGGTCTATCGCGTGGCAGGCGACAATTCTACCACTGAAGCGCCGATGCTTGATTTTAACTGTTTCAATATTTTCGACAATTTTTTGCTCTTCATTCCAATTTTTTCATCAAAGCTTCGAATGAAAATCACCAAAACTTTGTTTTATGTTAATTAAGGTTTCGAATTTAGCTGAATATTTGAGTTTTTTCTTCTTTTTTGACAGTGGAACTGTGAAAATACAAAAGTTTAATTTTGGGTTTTTCTAGGAAGACTATCTGCGCTGCATTGGCCGTGAGTCGATTACGGGTATATTGCTAGGCAGGCGACAATTCTTTCATTAACCCACCGATGCTTTATTTAAACTGTTTTAACTGTTCCAACAAAGTTTTGCTCTTCCTTCCAATTTTTTCATCAAAGCTTTTGAACAAAAACTCTGCTCTTCATTGCAATTTTTTTTACCAAACTTTCGAATCAAAACCATGAAGGACTCATTTCAATTGAGTTTTAAAATTCATCTAAATTTTAGTGCTCCCCTTTTTTGATAGTGGAACAGCAAGAAGTTGAAAAAAAATTAAACCTGAGCTTTGTTAGAAAAATTTTACAGCTTTTCTGAGTTGCATCGGCCGGGAATCGAAACCGGTTCTATCGCATTGCAGGCGACTACTCTACCACTGAACCACCATTTCTTGATTTCAATTGTTTTACTCGCTCCAACAAAGTTTTGCTCTTCATTCCAATTTTTTCATCAAAACTTCGAATCAAAATCATGATAGCTTATTTTCGTTTTAAATGAGGTTTTGAATTCAGCTGCATATTTGAGTGTTTTTCTTCTTTTTTGACAGTGGAACTATACAAATACAAAAGTTTAAATTTGCGATTTATTAGGAAAACTATCTTCGCTGCATCGGCCGTGAGTCGAGTACGGGTATATTGCTAGGCAGGCGACAATTCTTCCACTAACCCACCGATGCTTGATTTAAACTGTTTTAATTGTTCCAACAAAGTTTTGCTCTTCCTTCTAATTTTTTCACCAAAGCTTTTGAACAAAAACTCTGCTCTTCATTGCAATTTTTTTTACCAAACTTTTGAATCAAAATCATGAATGATTCATTTCGTTTGAGTTTCAAAAAATCAGCTATTTATTTGAGTAGTTTTCCTCTTTTTTGACAATGGAGCAGTATGAATTTACAAAAAATTTAGATTGCCTTTTTCTAGGAAATTTTTTTCTTCTTTGCATCGGCCGGGAGTTGAACACGGGT